CCGGAACCAGACAAATCGCACTCTCGCCTGCATTTCGCGCGCTCGACACGCGCGATCTCCGCAGAGGGTTGCGCCGGAACCGGACAAATCGCACTCTCGCTTGCATTTCGCGCGCTCGACACGCACGATCTCCGCAGAGGGTTGCGCGGGCGCCGAACAAATCGCAATCTCGCCTGCGTTTCGCGAGCTCGACACGCGCGATCTCCGCAGAGGGTTGCGCGCGCATGGGACAAATCGCACGAGCTCTCGCCTGCGTTTCGCGCACTCGACACGCGCGATCTCTGCAGAGGGTTGCGCGCGGCCAGGACAAATCGCGCTCTCTGCATTTCGCGCGCTCGACGCGCACGATCTCCGCAGAGGGTTGCATTTTCGGTTGACGCTGTTCGCCCCACCCTCCGCCTTTAAAGAGAATTAGTAAATTGGGGGAATGTTTTTCATTAGGATATCTCCCGTGAAAGTTTTCATACTCGCAATACTCACACTTGCATACTTACACTTGCGTGCTTACACTGGGAGACTTACACTTGCATACTTGCACTGGGATACTTACACTTGCATACTTGCACTTGGATGCTTTCACTCTTACACTGGGATACTTACACTTGCATACTTTCACTTGGATACTTCTGTACCATTGTAAGTATAGAAGTGTAAGTGTTCAAGTAGGCTCATCTAGCCTGAACCGGGTGTCCTCCAAATAGCGAGTGGGTGTCCAAATTTCTACCCGTCCGGTAAACTCCAAAGCGCATGCTGGCAGCTTTTTCCACGGACTCGCAGAATTTGCTGCAATTTGCAAACAATCAGCACTTGCACGCATCACGTGGCATCCCATTCAAAACCATAATGATAGCAAATAGCACCAAGTTCAATTACCAGGCTCCATGCGCACATTGCAACCAAGCCAGCAGGTCAAAAGGTTGAATCTTTGCTTATGCTATTTTTCACTTTGATCGTCCATGTGACGCGATATTGTCCCCCCGCTACCACATCGCCTCAACAAGCCGCGGCTCTAAGAATCACGAAGCTTCAAGGCAACCTTCAACGGACGCGACCGTTTTACTCGAACAACTCTCACCTCGTCCTAAGGCCCTCCAGAAGCTTAAAGCTTCAAGAAGCACACGCCACAAACTCAAACAGGTTGTGGCTGCCAGTAAACGGGCACACCGGCTGCCAGCTAGCTGGCAGTCAAATAGCCTACCAAGGTTAAGCGCACCCAGCTCAACGCATCGGCCCTTCTGCTTTGGTCTTTGTTGGAAACTGAGGTGTCCTTACTGAACCAACACAATTTAACAGTAAAATCGTGACAAGTCCTTTATGCCAAACAGGTTTTGCAACACCTCATTACTCCAAGTGCAAAGCGGATGGACCCTCTAGGTATACCAAGTGTTCGAGGTTTTCCTGGCCAAAAAGATTTGGCTGGCTATATTTTGACGGGTTTTCCTGGCCAAATGGATTTGGCTAGTCAAACTGTGATGGGTTTTCCCGGCCAAATGGATTTGGCTGGTCAAATTGCGACGGGTTTTTAAAAACCCATCGCATTTTTGGTGGCCAAATCCATTTGGCTGAGTGGTTTTGCTCAGCAAAACCCATCACAATCTGGAAGCTCGGCTGGCCCCAGAAAAGCGATGGGTTTTTTAAAAAACCCATCACAATTCCATAGGTTTTGGAAAAACCCATCACTTTTTGAAGTTGGGGATGAGCTGGGAAGTTTGACGGGTTTTCGTTTTCCTTATTTAATTGCGACGGGTTTTTCAAAAAACCCATTACATTTTGGGGCTGGGGCCCCGGTCTGAAACGTGACGGGTTTTCCCGGCCAAATCAATTTGGCTGGCAAAATTGTGACGGGTTTTCCGTCTCCAACTCATTCATTCCTGCAAGGCCCCATTGATCGAGCTTGGCCGAGCGCAAGGCACTGAAGCTTCGGGCGCACATTGCACCTACAAGCTTCAGGTGTTTGCATCCGACTGCTCCAATTATAATCTTCCAATCCAAGATCGTTGAGCCTCCGCTCCTGAGCACCAATACAAGGCAAATGTCAAACCGAGAAAGTTTCACGTCCAAGCTGGGCATATTGAGCAATCAGCATATAAGCCCAATGGTGCTTCCAGCTGGCTCAGGCAATCCTCGAGGCCGCACAGACCTACATCAACACATGACTCCGCAGAGGGTCGAGAAAGATCTGGCAAATAGTGTGAAGTACGAGTTGGACCTATTGAAGTTGCAACGTCCCGGTCAAAGTCAAGCCTTTCTTTTTGCAGCTCCAACAGGTCCACGTTCTCCATCCAAGTGCGTTAAAAATCTTGAAGCGAAAGCTCTGGCGCAAAACTTTTGAAATAGTGGTGCTTGGCTGTGGCGCCAGAAGCGGTGGATTATGTTCGTGGTTGTGAGGAAGGAGATGGTCTCTGCAGACTCTTCACACGTAACGTCTCCATCATCATCATATCTCCACGCTGGCATGGCTGCCCACTACGAAGAAATCTAAATTCTTGAAGTTCCATGACTGTATGTATAGGTCAGTCTTGAGTGTACCAGGCGCATGTGGATGTTGCCTCATTCTTAGAGCTCTTTGCTCCCAAGCAGGACCAAACAAACTACATGGCTGTGTTACATGCTTTTAACGGAGCCAGCAAGAAACTTGACAACAAGGTTCTATTCCAAGTCAAACACCCACTTGCTATTTGGAAGACACCCGGTTCAAGCTAGATGAGCCTAAGTGTAAGTGGTATACTTACACTTGCGTACTTTCACTTGCAAACTTTCACTTTGGATACTTCTGCGCCATTGTAAGTATAGAAGTGTAAAGTGTTCAAGTGTAAGTATAGCAGTGTACGTGTTCAAGTGATTTTCCGGAAGAACCCTTCGCAATGCTTTCGGAAAAACCTAGCCACAAAAGCTTGGAACGCAGGCCACAACGCGCTCTCCGTGCTGAAGTTCAAGAGTTCCTTGGAAAAACGCCGTCCGGTGGGCAAACAGAAGGGAAAAGCAGAACGCGCAGGA